TAAAAAATTCGCGTTTGTCACTCTGATATTAAATGAAGAATATTCTATAAAAATCTACAATTATTGTTCTGATGGTCCTTGAAAAATTGTTCCTTTGAAATCCACGATTATTGCTTCCAAAATTATTCGCAACATCATTCTTCCAAAATCTACATTCACACTAGTCCTTAAAATCCATGTTTATAATCGTCCTTAAAAAATAATGATATCCTTTGCAAAAAAGTTCCTAAATCGCGAAATTAAAGCTCTGATGACGTTGGTATAAAAATTCATTCCGAACAAACAAACTTCCTTAATGAGCTGGCTTAGCAATTGACTGCTGATATGTGCATTTCATCAATTTCGGCTTATGAACCAAGAAGAGGATAAAAGCGAATTTGAAAAAAAAAACACAACACATCCTCGTTGAAAAAGTTTTTAATTAAAAAGTTTTTTTTTTTTTTTTGGTCGATTTTGTAGTTTTCACCGAATGAACATTCCCATATGAATGTATGTGCGATTGTGGCATCCTGAAAAAAGAGCCAACAGCATAGTTTTCATTTCATATTTCAACTAATCCTGTATCGAAAACATCCAAACATCCTTTGCAAAATTTATAGTTTTTTTCACTGCTGAGATGAAGGTTCTCAAGCTCCATATCTGGAAGCTATCAAAACTGCAACATCATTATAATCGCCACCACCATCACCACCAGCAACAACAACAACACAAGGACTACACTACTTATCAATTAGTTGGCTAAGTACATTTCATCGTGTTGTGGCCATAATGGTGAGTGGGAAGGAGGGGAGGGCCACATAAAATGTTGGTGTTGTCAGAGCTTACGAGAGTAAAATTTTGTGCGTCGGAGTGTACAATTCCCATGCCGATTGTGGCGATCAATGTCAGAGTGGGTGGGTGCGTGTGTGCCCGTATTTGTACCACAAGCCTGACAGACATTTATGGTGGCTGGATGAGCGATTGAATGACTGACTGACGGCCTCACTATATGACTGGAAGGCAATAACAGTTACTGCTCGCAAATGATTTAATGTCGACTTGGCATAAACATTGTCAATTCCCCACAGCCAGTCAATGGCAGTCACTGAGAGGGGGCGAAAAGAGGATGCGGGCAGGGAAACACATCTTCATTTGTCTATTTCTGTCAAGTCAACAAATGAAAATTATATAATTTTCCTCACCATTATTGTTGGCAGACGTTTTCCCTGCCATTACTTTTTCAAGTTGCCACCCCCACCCAAAAAAAAAACCAAGCAGATGCTGATTGCAATTGATTGCATGGCAGTGGGTGTATAAGGAAGGGGGGTTAAACAATAGATTCTCATTTCGTCCGCCCCCCAAGTGAGATTCTCTATGAATGACTTATTTTTATGCTAAATGTCGTATTCCCACAAATGTTGTAGATCGCTGTAATGGTTTGTAAATGTCACACACAGACAAATGGCAAACGATTAATCGTTAAGTATTAATAACTGCGAAATGAATTCCAGGGGGAGGAGGGGGGGGGGAGATTGAAGAGTAGGATGCAGTTTAAAAAAAAATTATAAAATGAAACATTACGCAGGTTTTATATAGGAATGTCAAGGTAGAAAAATCCTGCAGATTATGGGAGTAGAGCTGAAAATAGAAGGCACGTGTAGCGGAGTTTTGAAAGTTAATATCGCAAAGTAACCAAAACGGCAAATTCCTCCCTCTTCGACATTTTTGGAAATTTTCGAATTAAAATTCCTTTAGAATCCGTTGATTATAAGTATATAGTGTCTTCGGCAATATTGCAGATAAAAACGCGAGGATTATTGATGCCTTAAATCACTCAAAAGAGTCCCAGAACCTATAACAATATTTAATTCATTGGGCGCCATTTGTAATTATTTTGAAATGTATTTCTGGTTACATCAATGACAAAACATATTTTTTTTTTTTTAAATTGGGCGCCATTTTTTAGTTTCAAGGCCAGGAGTTATGTCAAGAAACATAGACAATTTAAAAAACCCATAATTATTGTTTTAATGGTCCTTAGAAAAATCACGGTTATTGCTCTGACAATCTTTGAAAAATATTCTATAAAAATCTGCAATTTTTTGCTCTGATGGTCCTTAAAAAAGAATATTCATTAGATATTCACGATTATTGCTGTGATCATTCTTGCAACAATGTTTTTCGAAATTCTCCATTGACACTAGCCCTTAAAAATATCCCAAAAAAATCAAGTTTATATTAATTCCTTAAAAACATATCATATCCTTTGAAAATAATTTCCTAAAATCGCAGGATATAATCGCTGCTGCTGGTAAAAAATTTGCGCATGATAACTCTCGAAGGGAGTATCCGATTTGATCCAAACTTGGTACATCGTAATATTATTGTCAAACTTAGCTCGAGTTCGGAGATGGACACTATCAGTCCACTCCTTCGGATACCTCCTCCATAAAATGTCAAGAATTTCAAAGAAAATAATTATCCCATTTTGCTCTAACTTTGTAAAACCTAATATTTACATCAGATCTAGGTCAGGTGCAAAAATGGACAATATTGGTCCACTCCATCCAGTACCTCTCTCACAAAGGGTCAACATTTTGAATAGTTATAACTCTTATAAAATTTGATGTAGGTGTCCGATTGCCTTCAAATAACACACATCACAGTATTTTTATTAATCCAAGGCCTGGTGCGAAGATGTAATACATCGGTCCACTCCTTCTAGTACCTCCGCCACAAAGGGTCAACATTTTGAATAATCATGAAACTCATAAAACATGAAATTAAGATCCGATTCCATTCAGACTTGGTACATCTCAATATTTCCATCAACACAAGATCTGTTTTAAAGATGGTAGAGATCTGGGCATTTCTTCTGGTACCTCCCCCACATAGGGCTCAATATAAAACAAAACGCTCAACGAAAGCGAAAGCGAAATACACATCCAAATCCATCGATTCACCTCCTCAAATTTCCCTAGTACAAATATTTTTGCTAACACAAGATCTGTTGTGAAGATGATATACATCTGTCAACACCTTCTGGTACCTCACAATTTCCAATTTTTACAGGGTGAGATAAAACTGCAAAAACTGCAACACAGTCAAAAGCCATAATTTTTAAATTTTTTTTTTTAATTTTATTGAACGAAAGCAAAAATGTCGGAAATAGCATTAAATTTTAGAATAAGTTTAGATTTGTTCGAATTGTAATGGGTACGGCAATCTACGACAAACATTTTTGTATGCAGCTCCACGTCTTCGTATACCCTCCATATAACGGTACCTCCCGATATTCGGGTTTTTCACGATTTCAGCGACATTATTCACCGGAATTATTTCACATTTGGATACTACAGCCTAAGACAGAAAATTGTCTGTGCAGGTCTACGTCTTCGTATAGCCCCCATATAACGATACCTCCTGATATTCGGTATTTTGATGCTTTCTGCGACATTATTCACCGGAATCGTTTCAAATTTCGTATTTAAAGTTCGTAATGAGCCCCCTGGCCGAACTTAGCTACTTTTTTTCTTGTTATAGATATTTTTTTAATAGTATTTCTTTGAGGACTATAATCAATGGAATTGTTTGAATCTTTTTTTCAAGAACTACGCAGTCTTTAACTACGCAGTCTTTAACTACGCAGTCTTATCTAAACATATTGTTTAAGACTACAATTAACGTAAATTATTTGGTAATATTTTTCCACGGACCATCATTGGTTAGGAATAGTATTAAGGACTATTATTAACGTGATATTATTTAAGGCCATTTTTTTTTAATGTAGGACTGTCACTAAAGTAGATTTATTAAAGAAGATTTATGTTGAATGTTCTAGGGCTATTATCAACGTAGATTTTTTTTTAATTGTTTTTCAAAACTATTCTCATTTTGTCTATTTTAAATATTTATGCAAGAAAAAAAAATACAGAAATCTAAGAGGATTTTTAAGAATTTTTTTAAGAAGTACAATAGCAACCATCGTTGTAGTTTTAAACATTTTATAATTTTTCCCAACATCAATGTGGATTAAATTTTTTTTTATGTTCAAAAATTTTCTTAAAATTTCTCTTCAAAGAATTTCAGTCGTCCTCACATTTTATTAAAATGAAATAAATCGCTCGTGTAATTTTAATAATTTTCATTTATTTTGTTTTTTTTTTTTTTTTTTTTTGAAACAATTTTTACCACCATCCCCATACGACAAACATATAAACATTTTTAATAGCTTTCCCCTTTGGGGACATTCACGATTTCTTTCATTCGAATGTTAAAGAAAAAAAATATAAAAATGTTTATAGTTGTTTATTTACACTTTGTGTGACGAGCAAACAGGCTCGCATAAAACCCACATCGGGTGGGAGGATGTTAAGCAAATATGTTTTCCGAAGCGTTTATGGTACATAGGGAGCGTGATTATGTACAAATATGTACAGGCAAACACATATGTACACAAATACATACAAATATGTTTCCTTTGGGGGTATTGAATAAAGAAAAATAGGGAGGAAAAGAGATGTTTCGCGATTATGAAATATAGCTGCCGCTCGGGTTTGAGAGTAGTTTTATAATATTTTTTTTTAAATAATAATTTAAAGAGCATTAATAAAAAGCATTTCTTAAATATAAAGAATATACAGGGTGATATGAAAAAACTGCAACCAACTTCAGACTGCTGTCATTTCGAAGCCACTCGTTCGACAGCTGTTAAAATTATTCCAGTGACAGCTCATTATATTGTTTACAAGCGTACAAAAGCATTTTGGTGAGAATTTTCCAGAAAAAAAGTTATTCGTGATGGATTTCAAGCGTGATAGTGTGATTTCCTTATATTTGGCTGGAAAACCACAAGTGGCTATCGTTAGAGCACTCCAGCATTTAAATGTGAATAAATTTTCTGTGTCTCGTATCATCGCTCGTTATCGTGATACTGATAGCTAAGCCCGACGTCAAGGAAGTGGGAAAGGAAGGAAGAGAACAGCAACATCAGCAGAAATGGTTCGAAAAGTACACCCAGAGAAAAAATGACAACATCCGTGTATGAAATGACCACATCCGTGTATGATAGTGTATCAACCACGTTTGGTGTCAAAATGAGCACGCTGTTGTCATTTTGACACCGAGATTTTGGCAACGATTTCAACAACAGATGTGCATGAAATGAGCACATACGTGGTCATTTCGAGCACGCCCCGTTGTCAGATTGTCAACGCTTCGTTGTCAGATCGTCAACGCTTCGTTGTCAGATTGTCAACGCTCCGTTGTCGGATTGTCAACGCCCGTTGTCAGATTGAAATCAATGGTGGTCATTTTTTGATATCCGTTCCTTTTCCATTTTATACCCTTAGTAGAAGAAACGACATTTTTTGAAAAGTATTTTATTGAACGAAACCAATTACATAAATTCAATATAAATACATATTTGATTTAACAAAACAATTCGAATTACATATATTCAATGTATAGAAACAAATTAAATTAACTTAAATCTGAAATAAACTTTTCCATTATTCATAGGATATAAGTGAAATGGGTAAGTAATAAAATCTAAAATTGGTATTAAAAAAATTGTATCCTCATTCAGAGAACCAACTTCATACGATTGTAAATGGTAATCAAAGTTTTTAACTTTTACTTGGTTACATAAAATGTAAACATTTTCATTTTCAATTATTAAATGTTTAATTTTGAAAAGTTCAATTGCGGCATTATTTGTTGCTAAATAATAGTTTTTTTTATACCTAGTTCCCTTAAAAAAAATGTCATCAGACACTTTGCAATTTTGGTAATTTAAAACTGGCTTACTTTTTTTGTAACAATATTCCTCTTTTGCCAAATCTTCGATGGTATGCGTATTAATGATAACATTTGGTTCTAAGTTATCTTCGTGTTTTAATAAAAAATTGGAAAATTTCAATCCAGACTTAATAGATAATGAACGACAGGGATTTACTCTTGATGTAGTATTTCCTAAATAGGCTTTTGCTTCCTTGTGTTTAGCTTCGAATCTCATGCTCCAGAGATATTTAAGGGGACCACATTTTCGGATAGCTGTGGGATAGTGGACAAGAAAGTGGTGTTTCGGTTTTAACGAACCGTATAATGTTATATAAAGTGAATGGTGATCTCTAATTAATTCTTCCAATTTTATTAAATCGTCTTCTATATAACTTGGTCTTAAAAGTAAATCGATTATTTGTAATAATATTATAAAAACTTTCCAGTGATCGTTGGAGAAAGGAATTAAATCGCCTACCATTAAAGGTAAAAAATTAGTAAAACACATAGTTTCACTAGCTGTCATTTTTAAGTTATAGTTTTTCAATCTACATAAATCTAGTGGTCCAGATTTATTTCCCACTTCAATTTCTCCAAATTGGAATAAAGATTTTCTGCTGTTAATACAATCTAACGTAACAATATTTTCTTGAATCAGCCCGAGAATTACATTAGACATATCGTAGACACATATGCCCTCGAAAATGTCATGCATAATATCAAAACAAAAATTTTCAGTGACGTTAAAATTTGGTAAAGATTCGAAGATACACTTGTTTTTAATACCTGTTTCTTGAAAATTATTTTCCAATACATTTGAGTTGTAATTCTCTTGGTTTCTTAAACTATCTAAATGCTGAATTGCGTCGAATTGCATTTGGGACTTTTTTCTTCTACATACCCGGCAAAATCTTTTAGAGTTAAATGATTGCACGTAGCCTAAAATACTATTAACTGCTAAATTATCTCCAATAATTACACCTAAAATAAAATGCACCTTCTGAACACTTTGTTGAACACAAATTTCAACCCCTTCTTCTAGAATTTTTAACTCTTCTACAAGATTGTGAAATGAAACTTCATTTCCACGTTCTTTTAAATCCTTTGATGGTATAAACGCAGCAGTTAATATATAATCAAGTTTTGACAACAAGTGCTGTGGCATTGAAGGAAAGCTAATATAACAACCACATATGGAAAATGTATGGGTTCCAAGAGGATTATTAATTTGAAAATCATCCATGTAAAGGACATAGGGAATAACTAAATTGTACTGATATTTTAATAATTTAGTTTTATATAACTCACCGTTTGTAAAATTTTGTAAAACAGGTGAATTTAGGAATTTTTTGGAGTTTTCTAATGTCAAATCTAAGAGATTTGGAATTTTAAAAAGGGCACTTATCATGAATTTCAGTGGCATTATATAAATATTGGATAACTTTGGACCTAAACTGGGATTTCCGCTGATAACAATTTCCGAGACTTGATTGCTAATTACATAAACCTTTGGATCATCATAAAAGTTTAGTTCTTTTAAAATTTTTAAAAGTCTATATTCCGTTCTAGTTTCTTCGAAAGGATTTTTACAAAAGTTTAGTAAGTACCTTAAGTCTTCATAATTTGGATGATCAGTTATATATTTTTCAATTGTACATGAAATGGATGAAAGCAGAATTGAAACAGAATGTTGTATTTCTATAACATGATTTCTAGGCATATAGCTTTGACCATGTAATTGTAAAGACAGATATAAGGTTTTCTTTTTCAAAACATTTAAATCCTTTTCTATTGTATTGTTGTTAATAACAGTTTCACTGTTTGTATAATCATTTTCTTTTGATGATGACATTTCAACTGGCACATTAATGGCTTTAACCATTGGTGGAGCTTTTGTGTGATTCTTGTGAAGTTTTTCTAAATGAATTCTGAATGACGTAAATTTTGTAAATGTTTGCTTACAGTTGTCCTGAACGCATTGTACTTTTAAAAATTTAGTGGACATTAAATGGTCTGTTTTCAAATGAGCTATTAAAAGATTTGCCTTATCAAAATGCTTACGGCAACGAAAGCAAATATACATTTTGAATTGTACTTTAATTATTGTTGCAGAAATTAATAAGTGAAGTCAAATTAACTGATTTTATATCATATACAGTATTAATTTCATAAAAATATTTTTGGATAAAAATCCATGGAATTTGGCAGGCATTTGGATATTTTAAAGAAAGTGCATGAAAAATTTTAAAACATGTATCTAAACATTCGAGGAACGATTGAAATTTTAACAAATTGTGGTTAAAAAAAACATAAAAACCTTTTATATTGAAATCGGACAAACCCTCCACAATTATAAATGGCTGTATAGTTAATCCAGCATTGTAATACTTTTCAGTGACTGTATCAATTTGCCTTTTATAATCGTTAATTGTCGGTAGTCGCAGTACGAAACTTTCCTGCGAATCAGCTATTGTTACTTTTTTTCGTAATTTACCGTTTCCACATTTAAACCTAGCAGGTGATGGTAAAACTGAATTCAACAGTATTGCGTATATATAATCTTGAGCATCTGCAACCGAAATATAAAATAAATATTACTTTTAATGTTTATGATAAATCAGGAATTAAAATTTACCTATGCTGCTTGCCGTCAAAACATTTGCGAAGAGTTGTTTGCAATGTTCGTTATGAATATTTTTCCCATAATAATTGTAAATTTTTTTCTTAAATTGGTCCCATTTAGAAAGTAGAAGATTGCCTTTCTGTGGATACATAATATCGAAATCAATGTTGACCTAAAACGAAACATTAGTATCCATATACAAATAAATAGCTCATGGCTACTTACCAATTCTGAAGCTCTTGCATCGGACAACTTCGTCCATTCAAGGAGAAATGTATGGCTACTTAAATTTTTTATATCTCTTTGCCGTATGTTAAAAGATCTTTTCCATTTTTCGCAGATCGATCCCCAATCATTACATTCTCTTAGTAAGGAAGCTTTCAATGAATTTTCAACTGATTCATCAATTTCGGGAACATCTTTGTTACAAAAATTAGGAGATGTGTGAGTTGCTGCTTTGCTTGTGCTAGGCTCGGAAATCAAAAGCTTTATTCTTTTGGACTTCTTGTTTCTATACTTGGCATAAAGTTTTCCGCTTGCGTTGTTCTTTCCTTTTCTTGAAATGTAATAATAATCCTAAAAATAAAGACATATTATAAGTTAAGAAACTACATAATCAGATACGTTGTTTATATTGTTAATCTTACCCTCATTTCGTTTTCAAGAGGAAAAACGGAACAAATTTCATCCAATATGCGCATATAGTCTTGAGTGTAAAGAGTAACATTGTTGGTTAAAATATCTTCAATAATTATATTAATTATATCATCTCTTTGCTCGTCACTTAATTTCTTATTAACGCTACTACATTCAAGCGCTAGTTTCCCCTTCGAGGTATGTGTTAACAATTCCGTTAGATCCTATATTAAATAAAAAAACTACATTAACTATGCTTACACAAATATTACTCTTACCTTACCTCTGACAAAATTCCTTTGGCTTTTGAGCAGTTCGAACCTGTAGTGTCGGGAGTACCAGGAGTACTTGCAGGTGTCTCGTTGCGTTTCCACCATTCACCTATTTTAGATGGAACTGACATAGTTTCGTCATCAATCCCGAGCTATTGTTATGACAATATTAATACTGAGTTCAACTCTGTAAAACAAATAATACGTACCTTTCGTTTTTTCCAAGCAAAGAGCTTTTCTCTGAATTCAACACGCAGTCCCAATGGTGGCACTGCTTCCTTTAAATCTTCTTTTTTCAAGTACTGCAAGCTGCGAAATGTTACATGTGATGCTAAAAGAACAAAAAAGAAAATTCTTTGTTAATTACACTGATTAACTGAAAAATTCATTTTTATTTACTTACCTTTTAATTGTTCAAAAAGCGACTCCATATTTATTCCTTTTAAGAACTCCCTTAACATATAATCGTCCTCATTGTTTTCCGCATCTTGACTGCTGCAATGGTTTGTATCGCGAACCACAACAATATTGCCATCGATTTCTAACAACTCACCAATGATATTTTGAGGATCTTGCGAATTATTATTCATTTTCAATAAATTTTTTGCACAATGCGTCCTTTCTCTTTCAATAACACGGAAAAAATGGTAAATATGCAGCCGATTGCACACGAGTAAAAAAAATGACAACGGTGGTGCATGATTCATACACGGTAGTTGCTAAAATGGCAACGATCGTGTACGATTCATGCACGTCGGTGTACAAAGTAACAACGGTGGTGCATCATTATGCAGGTGGTGGTGCATAATTCATACACGACCGGTGTCATATTGACAACGACCGTGTGTGAATCATGCACCACCGTTGTCATTTTTTACTCGTGTGTAATCGGCTGCAATTACCAATATTACAAATGGACAAATTAAGCACGGCTGTTGTTGGTACCGAAAGTTGACCACGTCTCGGTGTCAATTTGAGCACGTTCGTGCACAATTCACCAACAGCCGTTGTTGAAAAATATAACAACGGGTCGTTGCGAAAATGACAACATACGTGCTTGATTTCGCAACGGGATTTTTCCCTCAGTGTAATGAAGCGACTTGATCGAAACACGCGTCACAGTGGCCGAAAAATGGCCCATGGGCTGAACATCGATCGCAGTATTCCATTCGGCAAATATTGAAAAATGAGCTTGGGGTAAAGCCATTGCCATTGAAAATCCAAAAAGTGCAAGAACTTACACCGCAACAGAAAGAAAATAGACTCAAAAGAGCTGAAGAGTTGCTTCGCTAGGCCGAAAGTGGTGAACTGCCGAATTTGGTTTTCTCCGATGAGAAAATATTCGTCGTCCAGCAATTTGTAAACAAACAAAATGATCGTGATCGTGTTTACTTGGCAAAGAGGTCAGCTGAAAATGTGCACCTTCGGTTAGCCACCAGAACTCAAGCCTCAAGTCGACCATAGTGATGGTGTGGACCGCCATAACAGCCGATGGTCGCTCTCCGCTCGTATTAATCGACCGTGGCATCAGAATAAATGCCGAATATTATCGCGAACATATTCTGGAGGGTGTATTAAAGCCATGGGCACGCAAACATTTTGGCCGCAGACCTTGGACATTCCAACAGGACTCAGCGCCATCGCACTCAGCATGCGCCACCCTTGAATGGTTACAAAATGAGGTTCCTCGCTTCATTTCCAGCGCACAATGGCCACCAAAATCTCCAATATCTCGGATGCCAATCCGTTGGACTATTGTGTTTGGAGTATTTTGGAAAGCAAGGTTGGCACTAAAAAATACCAGCGTGTCGATCACCTCAAGCAAGTGCTTCGCCGGGAATGGGCCAAAATACCAAAATACCACAGAGCAACATTCTGGCAGCGTGTGACGGTTTCATTGGCCGTTTGCAGGCCATAATTCGTGCCAGCATGCGCCACCCTTGAATGGTTACAAAATTAGGTTCCTCGCTTCATTTCCAGAGCACAATGACCACCAAAATCTCCAATTCCTCGGATACCAACTATTGTGTCTGGAGTATTTTTGAAAGCAAGGTCGGCACTTAAAAATACCAAAGTGTCGATCACCTCAAGCAAGTGCTTCGCCGGGAATTGGCCAAAATACCGCAGAGCAACATTTGGGCAGCGTGTGATGGTTTCATTGGCCGTTTGAAGGCCATAATTCGTGCCAAAGGTGACCAATTCGAACAAATCTAAACTTATTCTAAAATTTGATGCTATTTCCGACATGTTTTGCTTTCTTTCAATAAAATTTAAAAATTGTGGAGTTTGACTTTGTTGCAGTTTTTCCTGTGTTTCGAATACTTCTCAATCATTATATGCACCCTTTTAATACCCTCCACCATACATAGTATGGAGGGTATATTAAGTTCGTCATTCCGTTTGTAACTCATCGAAATAATCATTTTAGACCCAACAAAGTATTAGCTCTGTCCGTCCGTCCGTCTGTTGTAATCACGCTACAGTCTAAACGAATTAAGATAGGAAGCTAAAATTTTGCAGAGATCCCTCTTTTGTCTGCAGGCAGGTCAAGTTCGAAGATGGGCTATATCGGTCCACGATATCGTATAGCCCCCATATAACGGTACCCCCCGATATTCGGTATTTTGATGATTTTAGTTACATTTTTCAACAGAATTGTACACAAGAGGTTCTTTGTAAGCACTTTACCCCCTGACAGAGAATTCTCTATATAGGTTAACGATATCGTATATCCCCCATATAACGGTACCCCGGATATTCGGTATTTTGATTTTATTTTAGCCATATTTTCCTATGGTATTGTCTGAAAAGCCACACAAGGAGTTCTTTGTGAGCACTTTAACCCCTGAAAGGTAATTGTCTATATTGGTCCCTTCCGATGTTAGATATTTCAAATATTTTAACAGAATTTTTAATGGATTTTATTTTTTGAAAATATTCTAATTCGTTCCAAATGGTGGATGGTATTCAAAGTTCGGAACTTACTGCTTTTTTACTTGTTTTTTCTAACTATGAAGTTCTTTATTATGATTTTAGAATAGCATTCCGACCTGTACTAGCGAGCTACGTTAATAATATCCACATTGGAATAAACTTTCATTAGAAAAAGTCAAATAAGAAATAACACAATCCTTAAAAAAATCCATTTCATATCCCATTTTTTAGTATGGATCCCTATTTAGCTTTAGTTTTGCCTTCAATTTTAGTTCGCATAAAAAATTTTACAAGCCCTCGTTCCAAGGTCATTATCAAATTCCATGTCCATATACACATATTCGCTGCAGTCATCTTCCTAAAAGCCTTTGGCATTAACATAGTAAATCGTTTTCCCATCATTAGGATTGAAAAAACTCTGAACGTGTTTCTCATTCTAAAAAAACTAACAATACCCATATTAATATAGATAACATCAGCTATCCTGGTTCAAATGCAAAATGTTGTAACAAATATTTTTTTTTAATATTTAAAAAACATAAGAGCATTACAAGAGCATTTCATTTATTAATTTTTGATTGATGCCGATAAATTTACAACTTTTTCGACTTGTGGCACTTTGCAATTCACCTAACCATATTGACATGAAATACATTGTCCTGCCGTACAGAATAAACTGCTGCAGCCAATAAAAAAGTGGACTATTAACTGTTACTCCGTTGATGGATTTCCTTTTAAAGGAGGGAAAATGGAGTAAAATTGTAGCCATTAAATATTGAATGCGAATTGAAAAAAAAAAAACAGCAGAATGGGAGTTATGTTAAGAGTTGGAACAGAAAAAAATACTTTGGAACAGGGAACCGAACAAACATATATTTGAAAATAACAAATTAAAAAGTATCAGTCGGTTTTGCCGAAAGATGTATATCCTCAGCCAATATTCGATTATTTAAACTCTAAATTTTTAACTTCTCTTATGATTATTCAAATTGTTGACCCTCTATAGAGTAGGTGCCGAAGGAATGGACCAGTATTGTCCATTTGGTATCGCACCAAAATAAATATGATTTAAATACCGCGACGTAGCAGGTTTGGACTATATTGGTTACTTCCTTCACTTTATATGAGAAATGTGATAATTTTTAGAAAATATTAAAATTTGTATGAGGTACCAGGTATAGTCGACCGAAGTATTCCATTTTTATACCCTCCATCATACATAGTATAGAGGGTTTATTAAATTCGTCATTCCGTTTGTAACTCATTGAACTAATAATTTTAGACCAAACAAAGTATATATATTCTTGATCAGCGTAAAATTCTAAGACGAATTAGACTTGTCCGTCTATTCGTCTGTCCGTCTGTTATAATCACGCTAGAATACAGATAGGAAGTTAACATTTTGCACAGATCAGTCTTTTGTCTGCAGGCAGGTCAATATCAATATCGTATAGCCCCCATACAACGGTACCCCCCTATATTCGGAATTTTGATGATTATACCCTACACCACAAAGTGGTCAGGGTATTATGTCTTTGTGCATTTGTTTGTAACAGGCAAAAGGAAACGAGATAGACCCATAGTTCCTTTTGATGATCTGCATAGAATCACATTCAGAGTCGATTTATGCATGTCCGTCTGTCCGTCTGTCCATGTATTTTTGTAAACAAAGTACAGGTCGCATTTATTGCCCGATCCAGATGAAATTTTGCACAAATCATTTGTTTAGCCCAAGGACGAACCCTATTGAAATTGGAGATAATCGGTAAAAATTTAGATATAGCTCCCATATATCTTCGTCCGATTTGCCTGTTATTGTGCACCAAACATGTAATATCAGTCCGAATAGTATGGAATTTTGTATGTACGATCAGATTGGACCTGAAAGTAAGTATGACAAATTTGATCGAAATCGGTTCAGATAAAGCTATAGCTCCCATATATATTGTTCATCTGATTTGTGATTTTGGTCCTCCGCAGCCGTATTATGTTCTCTGTAACAACAATATTTGGGGAAATATATCAAATACACCTCAGAAATACCTTTGCTAAATTTTATCGAGATTGGTTCGGATTTGGTTATATCTCCCATATATAACTTCGTCCGATTTACCTTTTATTGTGCACCAAACGTCTAATATTTGTCCAAATGGGATGAAATTTGGCACTTACGATTGAATTGAGTCTAGAAGCTAGTATGTCAAATTTGGTGAAGATCGGTTCAGATATAGCTATAGCTTCCATATATATTATTCATCCGATTTGTTATATTTGTTACCCACAACCGTAATATGCACTCCGTAACAACGATATTCAGGGAAATATATCAAATACAGCTCAGAAATATCTTTGCCAAATTTTATCCAGATCGGTTCAGATTTGGATATAGCTCCCATATATATCTTTATCCGATTTCAAATTAATTGTGAACCAAATGGGCAATACAATTCCGAATTTAAAAGATACAAATGCTTCGGCATATTTAGTCCTTTGAACTTTAAATTATAATTATAATCATAGCGAGTATGATTGAATTCTCCCATAAAAACTTTTAATTGTTATGTGGAGCTCTACTTAATTAGCAAAATGGTGTAGGGTATGATAAAGTCGGCCCCGCCCGACTTGAAGACTTTCTTTACTGGTTTTTCAATGAAATTGGCTTAAAATCCACACAAGGAGTTCTCTCTGAGTACTTTACACCCTGGAAGAGAATTGTTTATATAGGTCCACGATATCGTGTAGCCTCCATACAGCGGTACCTCTCGACATTCGGTATTTTCTTGTTTTTAGTCACATTTTTCAATGGCATTGAAATTCTGAAATTCTACACAAGGAGTTCTCTGTGAGTACTTTATACCCTAGAAGAAAATTATTTATATAGATCCACTATATCGTATAGCCCCCATACAGCGGTACCCCTCCCCCCATTATTCAGTATTTTGATGATTTAAGCCACATTTTTCAATGGTATAGTCTGAAAATCCACACTAGGAGTTCCTTGTGAGTACTTTATTACTTTAGAAGAGAATTGTCTTAATAGTTCCACATTTTAGCATAGCGCCCATATAACGGTACCCCCAGATATTCGGTATTTTCATGATTTTTGTGACATTATTCACCGGATTTGTTTCAA